TGCTGCCTATATTTTTAGGTACTAACTTAAATGCCTAAGCTAGGAGCTTGGACTCCTTATCAGGTCAAAGGACAAAAGCTGTCCATCCTGAGATATACGGAAAGCTTTAGTCCGAATCTTAACTATCACTTTTCTTAGTTGCTCTGAACTGCTCTCAGAAGGCTTTTGCATATATCCAAGGACAAGGCAAGAAATGTGTGTAAGAAGCAGCAAAAAGATTTAGATAAGATATGAACAAAAATATTCCAGGAATTCAAGGTGATGAAGCTTCGGAACAGACTGCCTGGGGACTTTACAAAGTCTCTCTGTTATTGGAAATCTGTAAGATTATGTTCAAAAAACGTCTTCTGGAATTATAACATTAGAGTGACCTTGCCTGGCATAGCAACACATTAAATGACTTCTTGTTTTCTTTGTTCCTCTGATGCAGAGAGCCCAAGTCCTAAGCCTAAGCCCTAAAAGTTGGGTGGCATCAAATATCCTCTACTTGTTCTAAGTATATATGGCACAGTGGCTACAAACTGGAAGTAGCTGGGAAACCTACTAATACTTGAAAAAGTAAAAAAGAAGAAGAAAAAGAAAAAATAGTTTAAAACTGTGGAGCTCTAGTTACTCTCTCTCCTTGCAAAGAATCTTATTTGAAAGCACTTAGTGAAATCTTCAAATGAAAAACAGGCATATGTTTACTTATGCATATAGATTACCCTCACTTTTAGCTCTAACAAACATGACACTCTAAAAAGTACAGAGCACCATGGCTTTGACAAGACAATCTGATGATCATATGTCATCCTCTGTCCCTAGAACTGCATGTTTGACACGTGTAACTGTGAGAAGAGTGAGGACTGCATGTGTGCTGCCCTTTCCAGCTATGTCAGGGCCTGTGCCGCTAAAGGAGTTCTCCTCACTGGATGGAGGAGAAAAGCCTGCAGTAAGTTCTGCTTCCCTTTGCCTCTTGAAAATGATCATCCAGAAGGCCCCACACAGCAGCTCTCAGGGATTCCCATAGTAAATTGTGTTAAATTGTGTTTTAAGTATAGCATTGACTTTCAAGAATTTGAGGAGGAAAGGAATACCACAAAAGACAAGCAGTAAGCAGGGAGAAATATAAAAAAGAGGCTTTGTTAGATTACTTGCTCAGAACCAGCAGAAGCAACAGGGACCTCAATACCCTTGCAATAGGAATAAAATAAGTAGGGTGTTTCTCAGTTTACTTTGACAAAAAATATAAAAATAACAATGAAGAAAAAACACACTATGCATTAGTATAATTATTTTTTTTTTTTTTAACCTGGACAAAATATTTGTAATCATCACACATTTATAGGGCAAAAGTCTGCTCTAGCAGTACAAAAAAAAATTACATTATTGAGGATATCAGTAAAGAACATGTACATACATTGCCATGTTTATCCTATATACTTTACCTCAAATACTGCATTTATACCTATATTCATTCTTAAATGAACTACAAATGTAACTCACCTTTTTACTCTCAAGCAAAATACACCACCTTGTGTCCGAAATCCTTGAAGTACACTTACAATGTCGATTCCTGTCAACCCACCTGCCGGTCTCTGAGTGAGCCTGATATCATATGCAGCATCAAGTTTGTCCCAGTTGATGGCTGCACCTGCATAAATGGAACCTACATGGATGAAAGTGGCAAATGTGTGCCTGCTTCTAGCTGTCCTTGTTACTACAAAGGAATGCCTCTGTCTTCTGGAGAAGTTATTCATGATAATGGTGTTGTCTGGTAAGAGATTTGTAAACAAATGAGATTGGATATAGGCAATCATGAAATCATATATTCATTATGCAATCTATTAAAATCAAATGTATTTCTCTGCCTAATAACTTTAATACAAAAAATCACAGATCCTTAAAAATTGTTAGGGCTATTCATGTTTGGAAGATTGTACTTAGACTACTACAGGAATTCAACAGACTATACTGTGGTGGGTTAGCCTTGGCTAACAGCCAAACTCCCATCCAGTCACGCACTCCCCACAACACACACTTTTCTTATCCATGACTGTAAAATACTTGTTCCATGGTGAAAGACGCTTGATAATCCCATTACAGATTATTCCCATTATGAATGGAATCTGAACTATTCTGAAGGACAGTTTTTAACCAGGCAAATGGACAGACCAAACCTGTCTTTATATAGAATATACTTGTATTTTGGTCTGCTCTAATATAAAATATTTTTGAATAGTACAGACTATTCTGATAAAGGACACATTTTCTCTGTTTTATCACAGAGTAATTTTTCATTATTTCAAATTCATTAGGAAACAAGCTGAAACTTAACAAGAAAAAGCAAAAACGTATCCATTCTCTTTTTTTTTTTTAAAGCACTTGCACCTATGGAAAGCTGAGCTGCATTGGAGAGAAACCGGAACCAGGTGACATATAACTTCAGATTTTCTTTAATTCTCCTTTTCCATCTTCATCCTTTCCAGTTCTCTCTTTTTTTTTTTTTTTGTTGTCATAATGATGCAGATTGTACAAGTCTGAAATCAAACAAGAAAATGAACGGATGACTTCTGTAATGTAGAGGATATTCCCAAAATGTAAAGAAACACTGTCTTACCTTTCAGATTGCTGAAACAAGTTATAAGCCCCTGGGTTACCCAGGAGAAAAGAATACATGGTCACCTCATTGAAAGTGAAGTAAAAACCACCCACATTTTAAATAAAATAAAAGTACTAAAAGCCTAAAAAAATACAAAGCAAACCAGGATCTTTGTTTTCTTGGGTTTTTTTGGTTTGGTTTGGTTTGGTTTGGTTTGGTGTGTTTTTTCTGAAAGGAAGTGTTTCACGAAGCTAACTAAATATTAATTTCCATGAGTAGTCCAAGCATAAGCACAAAAAACAGATGAGCATGACTTCAAAACAATATTCAGTTTCTCTTTCTGGTCAAATGCATTATATTAAGGTATTTCACAAAGAAGTCTTTTTTTTTCTTTTTTCCCTTCAATCTGCATTAAGGAAACACAAAGATATAAATACATGGTTGATCTCACATTTCTCATGGCTTTTCTCTCTTTCAGTCTGCATACCTCCCATGGTCTATATTGACTGTGGCAATGCCACAGCAGATGTGGTAGGAGCAGGATGCCAGAAGAGCTGTCAGACTGTAGATACGGAATGCGTAAGTACAGACTATTTATACCCAGTTGAAAGCATATTAAACTAGATCTCTTTTACAATTATCAACTGCAGCTGGACTCTTCCATCAAGGAAATGTTTCAAGTCATGTTTTCTATATGGTCCTTACAGTACAGAACCCACTGTGTCTCTGGCTGTGTATGTCCTCATAACCAAGTGTTAGATGGCAAAGGTGGCTGTATAGCTCCAGAAGACTGTCCGTGTGTTCACAATGGGAATTCCTACAGTCCAGGAGAATCAATCAGAGTTGGCTGTAACAACTGGTAAGAGCATATTGAAAAATACTCTTTTCAAGCATCTGAAAGGGGATAGTTTAAGCTCTGGGTGAATTACAGCATTTCAGTCTAGCAGTATCAAGATTTATAGGAAGGAATCTTACATAAGATGATCCACTTAGTACCTAAAAAGCAAGCTCTGTCTGCCTTTTACAATGGCACACAGCACAGAAATTGCAAGTGGTCAGAAGAACAATATGGTTTGGATATTGTCATATTCATTTGAGTCAAGAAAACTTTTTTCCTTGCAGGCAATCCCTACATTTCAATACCTCCAACAAGATTTGGAAATGTGAAAGATTTAAAGTATTTTCTAACCCAAATTATTCATGACATCATGAAGTAATACAGTCTTTGGGCAAATCTCAAAGGCTCTTGAGCTATGCTGCATTTCTGAGAATAAGCAAACATTTTTTCATTATAGGCTTAACACATTTTAAAATCAGACTGATGTTCATGCAGGAATGTACACATAGTTATATCATGTGTATGTCTGGTTTTTACATTTGAGTGCTTTTCATCTTATGCAGCACATGTAGAAACAGAAAATGGCACTGCTCTGAGGAACCTTGCCTGGAAACCTGTTCTGTTTATGGAGATGGGCATTACACCACCTTTGATGGCAAACGTTTTGATTTTGAAGGAGACTGTGAATATGTTCTGATCCAGGTAACAGAGTCCTTCCCAGATTTTTGTACTATCGAAATACCTTGTGTTTTACATATGACCATGTAGCATAATTAACACTGAATATCATTCCCCTGTTTCAGAACTACTGTGGTCAACAAGGTATGAATCAGGGAACCTTCAGAGTCATCACTGAGAACATTCCATGTGGCACTACAGGAACCACCTGCTCTAAGTCTATTAAAGTTTTCCTGGGAGTAAGTATTTTCTTAAATAAGTTGTACCCCAGGCCTAATGTGCCAAAAAGACAGAACAAGCTGTTCCAGATAGAGTGCATTGTAGAAGAGTCCTCCAAGACAGTGAAAATGTTACTACATTTCTTTGCTCACTGCCAACAATTCTGCTCTCTGCTAGAGAAGGCAAAGGAGGGAATTCTGAAGAGAAATTGCTTAACATGAGGTTGTTGAATTGAATCATTTTGATGATAATAGAGTTATTATTTCAATAACGGTTACTGGCAATATATAAATCTCTACCCAATAGGTGACTTTTTTAATTGGCCTCTAACTTTTTCTTTTCTTGTCCTAGAACTATGAGCTGGTACTCAGTGATGGACACTCTGATGTCATCCAGAGGACACCTGGAGGAAAAATGCCTTTCCAAATCCGTTCCATGGGCATCTACCTGGTGGTTGACACTACCGTTGGCCTGATACTCATGTGGGACAAGAAAACCAGTATATTCATCAAACTTAGTCCCAGCTTTCAGGTACATTTTAAAATCCAAAACCTGGATAAAATGACTTCTGAAACATATCCATGTTATCTCTCAAAGAAAAAAATGGAAATTTAGGCTGTAACTGGAAGACTGAACGAGCAGCAATTGCATATTATTACCCTTGTAGTGTTGACTTAGTGTTGACTTACACATTTCCCTTAAATTACATTATTCAGTAATGGCATAACAGCAACTACATCAGTAGCTTTCTTCATGAGAAGTCCTCACTGAAGAGGTATGTTCAGAATTAGATAAAACTAGTTAGCTCAATACTAAGAACAAACACCATGAGTCTACTCTGTTTCCTGTCCTTATCCTTCCTAACAACAAGTTAGAGATATCTCTTCATGAAAGGTGTTTTATTAAAATGTCCAAGACTGTTACTGAAGAGGCCCAGATAGTCTTAAATAAGATTCATCCTGAGGTGTGTTACATGCAGATATTGAGAAACTGTATCTTACTGATCTTTGTCTTTTTGTGTTGACCCCCATGCAGGGACATGTCTGTGGACTTTGCGGAAACTATGATGGCAATGGAAACAATGACTTCACTACTCGCAGTCAGTCTGTGGTAGGAAATGTGCTGGAGTTTGCCAATAGCTGGAAAGTGTCTTCTAGTTGCCCAAATGCCAATCGCACCAAGGATCCATGCACTGCAAACCCATACAGGAAAGCCTGGGCACAGAAGCAATGCAGCATCATTACCAGTGAAGTGTTTGCGAAGTGTCACTCCCAAGTATGACAAAAACTTCAGTCTTAAATTCTCTTGAGCCAGAGATTACATTAATTTTTATGTTGGATAGCTGAAAAATACACTAAAATACACTTTGTCATGCTTAACAAAGTAAAGTCAGACCAAGTTCCAGGGAAACTGCATAAAAAGTATTTTCACTTTCATTTTCTCAGCTTGTGCTTTGAACTAGTAAGCCAGAGAAACTGATAGTTGTTTTTTTTTTAATAGAAGGGACGATCACAGATAAATCTTATTTTCTAATGGCATCATTTTCTACTAATATAAATATCAGCCACCTGATATACATGACTGTGTGCTAGCTTGTAGTAATGTGACAGTATTCTTTCTCCGAATGTATCTTCAACATCAAATAGTTCATAGCATTATGACTTATTAGTAATAGCTTTATTCTACATTTTCCTCTTCATTTTTTAAAGCATTCTCATGGTTTCCTCCTTTCTTATCTTTCTCACGCATACAGAGTTGTCAGTTTTAGATATTTTATTCAGCTTTTTTAGGACAGTGAATGCCTTTTCAAAGAGGACAAGTGCATGAAAACTCAAATGTTTTCTCCAACAGGTTGAACCAAATGAATATTATCAAGCATGCGTGGATGATGCTTGTGCCTGTGACACTGGAGGAGACTGTGAATGTTTCTGTACGGCAGTAGCTGCCTATGCTCAAGCATGCAATGAGCTGGACGTCTGCATTTCATGGAGAACTCCATCCATTTGCCGTGAGTCTCACCCTACTACTTTTTGAAGGGGTCCGGAGGGAAAGAAAACAGAGAGGAAAAAAAGAAAAAAAGTAGAATGAAGAAAGAAAGAAGGATAAAATTGTATTTGTAAGACACACTGCCGTATTCTAAAAACAGCAAAAAACCTACAAAGCAAGTTGGGTAAATCACTGGAAGCCAATCTATCTTCTTAAAGTGAAACCATTGATAGTAACTTTAACAGTGGTGTCATTAACGTCTGATTTACTCATCAGTCATGACACACAACTGGTGAACTGTAATATTATATTACACTCCCACCTGTCTACATCAGGCTCAATGTAAATAAATATTAGTGCATACTAGCTAAAATCAGTGATTTAATTAATTGATTTTTCATGCTTAAAGTGTAACTCTGTTCTATGCTTTATAACTTTATTGGTGCCAAAAGGTGGTAGAAGTGCAACAATTGTGTTAAATTAGAAATAAGAAAATATACTGCTCACCACATGTGATTATGGTGATCATATGGGATTTTTACTCAGTAAAACTGAAAGACTGCAGAGCAAAAAGATCAAAGGTCTTTTTCTGTCATTTCTCCTTCCTCTAGCTCTGTTCTGTGATTACTACAATCCACAAGGGGAATGTGAGTGGCACTACAAGCCATGTGGAGCCCCTTGTATGAAGACCTGCAATAATCCAAGCGGGAACTGCCTTCATGAGTTGAGAGGTTTGGAAGGTAAAAATAATTATGCATATCTCATTCTACTTATAAAAAGCTAAAATGTAATATACTTAACAAAATTTATATTACTCAGTATGTGACACAGAAGTTATAAGAAGAGATTTTCTAATTAGTATCTTACTACCTAATGGATCATGAACTTGTTTGGAGTCAAGATGAGGACCAAATGCTCCAAAGGGGTAGCAGTAACAGTCTGAAATTCTGCTTACTATATGGGATAATTTGAGGAAAGCAGATATAAGCAGAGTATAGACTTACTTCTACTTGTGAAAGGCCTAGTGTCAACATAACTCTCATTTTTTATTGCAGGCTGCTATCCGCACTGTCCAAAGAATAAGCCCTATTTTGATGAAGAAACCATGACTTGTGTTTCTAACTGTGGTTGTTATGAAAATGGAAAAAATTACAAACCAGGAATGCAGATGCCTTCAAAGCAGAATTGTGAATCATGGTAGGATTAGTAATGATTTTTAAACATTGAGTTTAAAGTTGTGGAACATAATGCATCATGCATTAAGCTTTTTGTTTGCTGATAGGAACTAGGCCAGTCATAGGCTGCTGAATAATGTCTAATTTTCTTCCATTCTCAGGAACTTAAATGATGACATAGTGAAACGTTTTACCATAGAGAGATTAATTTACTACTTATTCTGTATTTTTATTAAAGTACTTTTAAATTATTATTATTATAATCATTAAATTAAGCAAAAACAAATTAAAATAATAATAGTTATGGCAATAGTCTGAGAATTTTTATTAAGATATCCCTAAAATCATTATGTGAAATTATTTAGAAGCAGCAGGCAACTAATCTTCATTGTTTTGAGCTTGTTTCTGTTATTGCACCGGTACTTGCGTATTTGCAACAATCAGCAAGTATTCCCACACATTCTGCCAGAATTGATGACATGTTGGGACAAGTGTTGCTAAGCCTTCTATCAAACAGCATAAAGGTAGCAGAACCAGTTGTGAAGCAGTTAACACCTGTCCTAAGATACCTTTAAAGCAGCTACACTTGAATGCTGGAAGCAGTGCAGCCAGAATGGCTTAGCATGAAGCCCATCTGACCTAACCCAACTTCCATGGCATGTTTTGCAGTTCATAGACAGCTTTGCCTGCATTGTCTATGTTATTAACAGCACTAAACCTAACCTGTTAAATACATACCTACATTTACTTGTTTATTCAGTGTACAGATGCCCTTAGTCACTGTAAGTAAATATACCGAGATTCAGTTCTTAACAGATAATAGATAAACTCCCTTTAAAACCAGAATGCATTCTTGCATCTTTTGGAAGTCTGATGGAAATTCTCTGTGTAGACAGTCTCAACATCTGGATACAGTGATCCTTTCTCAAATGATACATTTATGGCACTTTCCCTTCCAAAAAATAAGTACACATATCACGGAGGTAAGAACATTTCAAATCACCCTTCCCCATGTCTTTGCCCAGAAGCCAAAAGCACCAATAAGGATACTGCATGTTTAGTATGCTAGCACAGAAAAATTGCCTTTCTTGCCACAAAACTGAGTAATCCTACCTAACCTGAATTTGTACAGCAGAACTGAATATCTAACTCAGAGAAGATAGGGTCTTTCTACATTTAAACACACAATGAATAGCAAAGGATTGATAGAAAAAATTGAAACAATAAAATGATGTCATGAACCAATATATTCACATTCATCATTTCCTTTTTTCTCTTTTCCAGTGAATGCACAAGTCATGGCAAAAAATGCAGATACGATGAATATGGTATGTTGACAAAGTTGGTTTTATCTGAATAGGACGCATTTGAGGTACTCTGCTTTGTGTTTCAGATACCAAGGAATAACACTCTCTTTTGATTTACAGAATGCATCTGCATTTATGAGGGACAGAAATACCACTATAAAGATGTGATCTACAATACTACAGATGGCACGGGAGGGTGTATTGTCGCAACCTGTGGTCCCAATGGAACGCTTCAAAGGGTTGTCTATGAATGTCCAATCTCAACATCACCCACAACAACAACGTTTCACTTCAGCACTACGCCACCTGCCACTACTTCCACAGGTATACCCTTTATAGCTCGTAAGAGTGTATTCTGTTCATTAATGAGTAAAATATAGCTACAAAACCATGCCCACACTCACAATGTAAATGAATTAATACAACCTCAAAATAAATGACAGTTAGTCTCATTTGTTATAAGCATTTGGTTTCAGTCAGTATTTGGTAACCAAATTAAAGCAAGGAAATGAACACAGAAAATAAAACCAATTCTGAAACACCAAAATAGAAAGCACTGCACACTGGTTTGATACTATTATTTTGCTTATCTTCATAGTGAACAATAAAAAAAACAGTATCAGATTTATTATCTGTAATTGTAACTATTTCCATACCTGGAATAATCTTTACTGAAGGAATAATTCATTTTTTTTCCTATTAAATTACAGAATGATTACTTTCTGTAAAATTCCTGGTAGGGTTCATAGTATTTAAAATAACAGTACTAAGTGGATTGCTCAGATATTGGCACTGAGATACTGAAATTTTCATTTCTATAAATCCTGTTCAGCATTTTTCAGGTTGGTAATCTCTAATTACTATGGGCACATGTTGTTTAATGAAATAAGTACTCAGTATAAAATTTAGAACTACAAGTTTTGAAATCACATAAACCATCAGCACTGCTGGAATTCATTAGCCATTTTCCAGCCATTTCTCAGTGAGAATTCACCTGCAAAAGCTTATGGACTGCTCTCCAACCAATAAATGGTTTCTTAAAACCAGAGCTAAAGTACAAAGTGTAGGAGTGCTAATAATGCTGCATTAGACATCTTTTACTTCAAATGGAGGAGCAAAGACAATTCAGCATATTACAGGAGGAGTCAACTCATTTGCAAGAAAAAAGTACCTATGAATCTTGATGCATAGACTAAACATTATTCTTCCCACTGGATTTGAATCCAGGCTTTGACATTGCAGAGAGACTAATAAATATTGAAACAAGACACAAAACAAGCAATTACACTGAATCAAATGTAAAAAAATGTGAGACTTTTTTTCCCCAATGTGTATAAATTATGCCCAAGCCTTATTTCAGCACTTTGTAAAAGATAATTGGCATTCTCTTGGGAAGTGACAGTTCCAAGCACGTCAGTACATTAAATTGGTGGGTGATGGATTTTCTGTTCTACTTCATATTAAATTATAAGTACACTAAACTGGTGCACTACAGGCTTACAATGCAAGCAAAGGACCTTAGGAAAATTATCAGCCCATTTAATACAACAAAAAAGAGAATATGTATGTGAATTTATTCTAAGTTTCACGGACTCTTCTTTTTCTCTTTCACAGTGTCACCAACTACATCAGTATGTGTTCATGAAGTCTGTGAGTGGTCAGAATGGTATGATGGGAGTTTGCAAACCCCTGGCTATGATGGTGGAGATTTTGAAACCTTTAATGATTTGAGAGCTAAAGGTTATGACGTCTGTAAAGCTCCACGGGCTGTTCAATGCAGAGCAGAGAAATTCCCTAATATACCACTGAAAGACCTTGGCCAAAAAGTAGAATGCAGTACAACAGCTGGGCTTATATGTTATAACAAAGATCAAATTTCAACAATGTGCAACAATTATGAAATCAGAATCTTATGTTGTGTTTTTGTACCATGCTCTTCCACAACACATTTCAGCATGTCAACACCAATCACAATTCCAGCTAAGAGCACAGAACCATCAAGTTCAACTGAAGAAACGACATCACTTTCAACCACTACAACATTACCAGTTACTACAACTTCTGAAAGTACACCATTCACACCTTCAGCCACTGAAGAAACAACCAGAAGTACAATGACAAAGACAATTCCTATCACCACTTCTCCTTCAACAACTCCACTGTGCATTAAAGAAGAATGTTACTGGTCAATGTGGTATGACGTCAGTTATCCAGGGTCCGGATATGATGACGGAGATTTTGATACAATTCAGAACATTAAAAAAAAGGGATACAAAGTCTGTGATAACAGAAAGGCTGTTGAATGCAGAGCAGTAAGGTTCCCGAATACACCATATCCCCTCCTGGAGCAAAACATAACATGTAATACAGAAGAAGGGTTGAAATGCTACAATAAAGACCAACTTCCACCCATCTGCTATAATTACAAACTAAGATTTAAATGCTGTACAACTGTAACACTACCGTGCGAGCCAGCCACAGCACCCCATACAACTCCTCAAAAATCAAAAACAACTCCGATTTTTACAACAACTCTAAGTATATCATCCACAGAAGAAACGACAACACCACACATAGAAACCAAACATAAGACGACTACACTATCAACAACTCCACCAAAAACAAAACATATTCTAACCAGAACTACATCACAACCAACGACACACACCCCATATGAAAAAAAGACAATGACAACCTCAAGCACCACTACACTAACCACTACCCCATACTTCCACACCACGACCTCCACCACCTCACAGTACACTCC